ACTTTTACGCTGTTATGATTATAAACGCGATAATGGACAGATTTTCGTTGGGGTATCAAACGACCATTTCCCAAAAACGAGACAAGATTAAAAGGGAAAAAAGTATTATGCCGATGTGAAGTGGATAATAAGTAAAATTTATTAAAAAAAGATTCTCCCGCACGCATGATATATTCCTAAGAAGCCTCGCACGTTCGGGCACGTTAGAGATCGTAAAGTCATATTCGCACGCGCTTAAACCGTGACAGGTTCCGCACTCTGTGTAATAGATAATGATTTCTCTCCAACTAAATACGTATTATAAAATACGAAAATATGCTAATAACTGGTCGTGAGTGCGCGCGCGAGTCTACCTGATTATACACATACACGCGCGAGCTGACCGAGACCTTGAAAAATGACCAATATATGTGTTATACGTACGTCCATATATTGTAACTCTCGATAGTTTTCGCGTAAGTACGAGGTGAAACAAGCTTATGCGTAACAGTACATACGTCTTTGTACAAAAAAATTAATAATGACCATCAATTTCTAATCGTTTCTCTTATTATTTTCCTAATAAATGCGAACAAACCATCCTAGTCAAGTAAATTAAATTATCAAATGATTTCTAAGTTGTTTTTTGCAGTGAGAATGTATTGTAGGCCAATCACTTTTCTTTTACAAAAGTAGTTGCTCTATCAGTAAATTCATTAAAATTTATCACCAACGCATGTTTTATCAATTCAGCGTATCGCGATATTATTGGAAGAGTATTATGAAAAATCCAGTCTTCATAGCTTCAAACAAGATGCGAAAAGGGACTCTGCTGATCGTTGCACGTAGAGCTGCAGGTAACCAAGTAACCGTAAACAAAACATCACCATGATACTCGAAGATGTAATGATAGTTGATATGACACACTCATGTGGGCCCAATTTTTATTGAAATTTTAGAAAACATAAGTATCTATACATATTTACAATTGTCAATCAACATTTCTTCTCGAAATTTTGTCGTGCGTAATCTTCGCGATCTTCATGTATTTTACTTTGATGTCTGCGCAATCGAAATTTTAGCCCAAATTTTCTATCGCATTTGTCACATGCGAAATCTTTACGACCTTCGTGTACAGTCCTTTGGTGCACAAACAAGCTTGATGATTGTCCAAATTTTTTCTCGCATTTGTCGCATACGTAATCTTTGCGACCCTCATGGACAGTCCTTTGATGCTTTAACAAATCTGATCTACTTAGACATTTCTTCTCGCATTTGTCACATGCGAAATCTTTGCGACCTTCGTGGACTGTCTTTTGGTGAATGAGCAAATTAAATTTCTGTCCAAATTTCTTCTCGCATTTGTCGCATACGTAATCTTTACGATTTTCGTGGACTGTTTTTTGATGCCTTCGCAAATTTCTTTGATCCCCAAATTTCTTCTTGCACTTGTCACATGTGAAATCTTTACGACCTTCGTGTACTACCCTTTGGTGAACAATCAAACGAGATTCTTGGGCAAATTTGCTTTCGCAATCGTTGCACGAGTAATTTTTTAGACCTTCATGTACCATCCTTTGGTGCTTCAACAAATCTGATTTATATCCAAATTTTCTCTTGCATTTGTCGCATTCGTAATCTCTACGACCTTCGTGTACTATCTTTTGGTGTCTAATCAGTACCGATTTCTGTCCAAATTTCTTTTCGCAAAAGTCGCACGAGTAATCTTTGAGACCTTTGTGTATTATCCTTTGGTGGTTCAACAAATCAGATTTATATCCATATTTTTTCTCACACTTGTTGCACGAGTAATCTTTGCGACCTTCGTGAACTGTTTTTTGGTGTGTAAGCAAATTCGATTTATATCCAAATTTCTTTTCGCACTTGTCACAAGCAAAATCTTTGCAACTTTCGTGGACTGTCTTCTGGTGTAAAAGCAAAATCGATTTGTGTCCAAATTTACTTTCACATTTGTCGCGTGCGTACTCTTTCCGACCTTCATGGACTGTTGTTATGTGCAAGAGTAAATGACATTCATATCTGAATGTCTTACCGCAATGGTCACATAAGTAATCTTCGAAAACTTTAAAGGCGAAATCTTTCTGAACTTTATGCACTGTCTTCATGTGAAAAAGCAAATGAGATTTTCTTACGAATATCTCCTCGCACTTGTCGCATGCAAAATTTTTGTTACCGTCGTGTACTGTCTTTATGTGCATGAGCAAACTCTGTTTATTTACGAATCTCTTGGCGCACTTTTCACATAAGTGATCTTTGAAAACTTCATGGAATATTTTTTTATGCTTGAGTAAAGTCGATTTATTTTCAAATTTTCTCTCGCACTTGTGACATCTGAAAGCTTCGCGATCTTTGTGTGCTAATTTTTGGTGTGTAAACAAACTTGATTTTTTCACAAATTTCTTCTCGCACTGGTCGCATGCAAAATCGTTGCGGCCTTTGTGTACTGATATTTGGTGTCTACTCAAATGACTTCGGAACTCAAATTTCTCTTCACACTTGCCGCATGCGAAATCTGTTTTTATATTGTGAATCGTGTCTCGGTGTGTTATCATGCTTAATTCGAGTGTAAATGGCTCCTGACAAATATCACAAACGTATTTTTTGTCGTTTGAAACAACAGTGTTGTGTTCATTTGAGTTATCTTTTGAAACGATTTCCTCGATTTTCTTTTTACATGTATCCATTTTAGTGACTTAATTATAAGATGGATCCTTCTATTTAGTGCCACACGAGTTGAACGAGTGAATTTATCTTCTGGTATTTATGGTATGGTTCATCGGGAAAGTCAACATTGAAACTAATTCATTTTAACTAAAAACATAATCAGTGTATCAAGGGACGATGTCAAAATCATTTATTATATTGTTTACAATTCACTCGCCGATTTATTAGTTTATTAATTCTTCTCATAACATTTGAACTAGTTTAAAATTCCAACTCATTCTTATACATATGATTTTAACCTGCCCTCATTACTTGTTCACTCCCCATATCCAACGCATTACGCGCCTAAAGAAGTTTCACTCCAAAAAAGAAAAAAATAATGTTTAAATGAAACGCTCCGCTGCGCCGTGCGCACACCCGTAAAATCGGGCGCAAATTTGCTATTTGCCTTCAATTAGATAAGTTTTTCAAGGCTCGTAAAAAATGATTTTCTTTCGGAACGGAGCTGGCAGTGCGAGAGCAATAAAATTCACGCTTTCGCGCTCCCTCTCTCTCTCTCTCTCTCTCTCATTCTCTCACATTACCTGAACATACTTATTATATTGTGCGTACGCATGTGGACTGCATGTACCTATGTATATGGGCGCGTTACACGCGTATAGCGCAGCACAACACGTGCGGCGAGTAATGCTCATTCCAGCGAGCGCCGAGTGTGAAATCTTTTATACTCACTTTGCCATTGAATAATATGCATGGCGTATACAGTAGTCGTCAAGAGGTGTGTAGCGTTACTTGCATGCGCGCGTAATCCTGGAACACGCTCGCATATACTTATAACGTAGTTACGTACCGCAGCGGCATGTGAACGCGATGTTTTGGTAGCTAATTTCTTTTCGCTTCTTACTTTTTTCAAATCTTTTTTTTCGAAAAAAAAAAACAAAAATCAAATTAAAAAGTACTTATTTAGAAGGCACTTGCACGACGTTCTCGATAAGTGCTTACGCGACGACGTTGTCTCCTCCGCCTCTCCCTCGTTACTTACGTATTTAAATTTTAATTGGTCACTTATCGTATTCTAATAGTTCTTCTCTTTTTCTTCTTCATCGAAAGAACGAAAAAAGAGAAAGAAAAAAAAATTGGCTCGACGCCCAACCAACTGCAGTTCTAATTCCGGGGCCGATTTGTATCTACACGTAGGCGCTTGTGTTGTATATGAACGCGACCGAGCTCCGAGCGGAAACTTCGTATGATCCGGCGGCAAAAGCGAGGGGAGTTAGTAATCCTCCGAACGACTAATACGAATACATTAAGCTAACATATCGATGCGAATTTGTTTTTTTTTTGTTTTTCTAGAAAAAGAGAGAGAGAAAGAGTAAAAAAAATGAGTAGCGGATAGAACGAGGAGAGAGAGAGAGAGAGACTTGGCGATATGCTCTCAAATTGCGATGAAACCCGGCACCTATCCCTCGAACCTACAAGAGGAGAGTAGAGCGCGGTACCTGGTCTTAGGTTTCGAATATCCAAATATATCGATGTAGCCGGGACCACCGTTGTCGATGGCTCTTGTGCATCGACAGTATTGATGCAGTTTTTGATGTATCGCTCAATTTTGATGGTTTTATTCATAGTGACCCCGATATAGATGCGACGCATAGAAAGTTGCAATTGCGTGTGCTAGTTTCTTCTAATTTTTTTAATTGACAGTTTAGATTCTTTAATGTCGAAAAGATTTATCTTTTTACATAAAAAATTTAACAGCAAATCATTTTAATAATTTGAGATTATGAATTGCATTCGTGTGATTGATTGAGGATAAGGAACTGAATTAAATAGAAGTTTCATTTTTAATTGACGAGTATTTTTTTATTTCAACAATATTAAATATTAATATAATAAAACTATTCGAGTTTCAGTCTCTTAACAAATGCATATCTGAAAATATGTCTCTATATATAATTTATATAATATAATATTTGTTCGTACGTATACGTTTGTAGAATTATATATTTACACTTGTGAACTTAATAGCTAGACGAGAAAAAAAGGTTTTGACTGTTTTACGTTTTTCGTTAAAAAAACATACGTATAAAAAAAATCGAGCACTCATTACATTTAACTAACACATTGTCACGCGCACACTTTAACAACTATAGGACAATACAAACAAACACATACATACACACATGCATTCACACATATCGGAGCAGTCATTTGAGGAAGATCGAGTATTTTCTGACAACATTTTATCGATTGATTGGCTCCGCTATCTCTAATTTTCATTTTGTGATATTTACAACGTATATGATACAAGAAACAAAATAATCGCGACGCGCGATTCACTCCTCGTCGTTCCTCTTGTCGCGGAGGTCGCACAGGGCCGTGATGTAGGACTGTGCCATCTGCAGCGTCTCGTACTTGGACAGCTGTCTGTTGTTGCCCAGCGAGGGTAGATAATCCCTCAGACGATCGAAGGCCTTGTTGAGATTCTGCATTCTGCGTCGTTCACGGGCGTTGGCTGCGAGTCGCCGTTTCCTCACCACCCCCGTCGTCGTCGTTGTTTTGCCAGACTTGCCTGACTTGGTTCCGGATTTTCGGTCGGCGCAAGAGGTAGTGGGCTCGCTACCGGCCGAGTCGAGGCCGCCGGGACTGTCACTGCGCTCTGAAGAGCAACTACTCATCTCGTCGGCGAATCCCATGTCCTGGCAAAATTGATTGTTGTTCATCGTCGTCGTGGGACTCACTGCGGTGTTATCGTCGTCGAGCTGGTGCTGCATCGCAGCCGCCTGAAAGGGTGCGAAATGATCCGTCGGGATATTTTGCATAATTTGTTGTTGTTGTGGCTGCATCTGATGCTGCTCGTACGGTAATTGCCCGTGAAATTGCTGGGGATGCAGCTGCGTCAAGTCTTGGCTCTGGGCGTGATGATAGCCGCCCCCGTTGAGCTGAGCCATCTCCGACTCGGACAGACCTGCTGGGCTAAGCGAGCGATGCGAGGTCGGCGGACTTGGGGTATACCATCCGTCGCTTTCGTAATATTGGCCCTGCTGCTGGATCTGCTGGATTTGAGGAGCCAGGGAATGGCTGGCGTAGGACGACATACGACCTGACGACTGATACGACGCCAGATTGTCGAGGTCTTCGCCGCCGCAGCCCATGAGGCCGCCGTAGCCGCTGAACACATGATTGCTGGGAAGCAAAACTTGCTGCTGCATCATCTTTGCAGATTTTTTTTTCAATACACACAATGGAGCACTGGATAAACTTTCGTCAATGTTCTGACAAAAAAATAAATAAATTAACCGAATGAACTCGGAAAGAACGTCGAAGGCACACCAAGAGTTTTGAACTTTTTTTTCTCGTTGATATATTTTTAACACAATATCGCGAGAGGCACACCGAAAAAACTTGGCTTAAAACGTATAGCGAAAAACTTGGAGTTGTTTATCGTAGCTCGAGTCGAGGAGCAATCTGCGGTCTGGCCAGCCAACTCGACTATTTATGCCGGCGCAGCTCCCAGATCTCCTTTGCCCCACTCTACGATTCTCTCTCTGTATATCTGGCTAAGCGCGCGTGCCGTCCAACCAATGGCAGGCTCGGCTCCTCCCACTGGTCGCGCGTCCAACAGGTGAGTTGAAATCGCACCGAGCTGTGTTTAACGCAGGCATACGAACACACGCACGCACACGCACACACCTAAACGTAATATGTGTATAAGCCGAAATTACTGTTGCTGAGCAGTGCTAACTCGTAAAGCCGTCAATCATGTGCGCTCTGCTCGCGATTCGATTTCGTTACGATACAGCTGCTGCTGCCGCCGATGCACTTGTGCACTTGTGCATCGCCCGATGATCGTTTCGTGGCGGTACATCTTCGAAGGCTGTATCGATACTCGATCTTTTGGTCCAAGATTGGATTTTTTGAATAGCTTGGCGATTTTACAAACGAACTTGTTTCTATTCAGTGCTGCTTATGGAGTTTATACGGAGAGGTATAATTGGTGAAAAGTATCATCGAACATGAATAAATGAGACTTTTTTTCGCGCAGCTTTTTTTTGATGTGTTAATAATTGCAAAAAAAGCATAGATATTTGACATCAGACAATAATCAAATTATTTATTATAAGTGAGAAAATGACAAAATGTATGTTTGAAGTATGCCACCATTAACTGTTGAGAAAGTTAATCCGAACTGAAAAAAATTCTGAAGGTTTATCGGTTTTTGTGGTCCATCGTATGATAGAAACACTATTTCGTAAGGTTTGTTCTGCCGCGCTTCATAAATAAATCACAGATACTCAAATCATCGTTCTCATCGCAAAGCAACGATGCATATCTATACAATAATAAATAAATAAAAACTTTGTGAACTCGCATACATGATAATAGTTCGCACGCAAGATGAGCGGTCGCTGGAGGCTCACGGAGGATATAGACGATTTACGGAAGGTATGTGCCGCGCGCATCGCTCGAATGATTTATCTGCCGCGTCATGCGCTCTAAACGCGCCTCGACGACAGTCCGTAGTGCATGAAGACGAGCTGCACACATTTGCATTTGCAATAACGCCAATATAACGTTTCAAGAAGGAGCATGTATACGTCTGTCTTGCTGCTGCTGCAAAAAAGCGAAGTTCCGCGCGCGAGCGGCCTTTCAGAAGTTAACGCGAACCTCCAATCTTCCGTATAGCCGTTTTATTAAATATTATATATAGGCAGGTTATAACAATCGTTAAGTTGATTGCGACTATTGTTGTACGATCTCCCGTAACAATCAAAGTGCTAAAAACTATCGTGTGAAAGCTAATCGAGTCTATTATTATACGTAAGTATAAAATCAATTGCCAAGAGGTTACACAAGTCTCTTGCACTAAAAATAACACACCCAAACCGGCGCATTGAAATATTACAATATATTCTACGGTACAATATTAATAAGGACGAAAGAAAACTGCAGATATGTGCATGCGTGCAGTGCCACGCGCGTGTGCTTGCCTGCCTCGTGCTCGTGTTGGCTTTATGTACACGTTTGGCAAATAATAACGTTATACACAAACTCGAGAAGGGGGGAGGCGTGTACCGGCCTATACACCCACTCACCCACACGGTGTACAACGTCATTAGGCATAACCACCGCGGGTGGCTCCGACGATTCGTCGGCGTGCCGCCTTATCAAAGTATTTACGTATCTGCCACGTGCGCGAATCATCGCCTCGTATCAATTAGGGCGCCGCGCATACCGTAGTACGCTTGAGTTGAGTTGTGTATTTGTGTATTATCGTTTCGAGTTTACATGTGATTTTTGTATATAACTTATAATCCATGGGGCATCGTCGTTTACACGATACTTGAATTTTTTTCTCGAGCTCGATAAAAAATATACAGCTCGGCAATGGAAAATTGCTTTCTCTCGTAAAATAATGGAGCGAGCTCGGGAGAGCTTAAAATACGCGTTCATATAACGCTACACATAGACGATGATATTTTTACAACTGCGCTCGCGCGCGCCTCGCCAACTATTATAATATGTAAAGCGTTTCTCAAGGGCTAGCTCTCACGCGCGTCATCGCATCGGCCGTCCAAGCTTGGATTCGCTTCTATTTTCTCTCTAAAAGGGATGAATCGGCATAGTCGATTATACAATAAACGTATACCCGTTGCGGTCATTGCCAGCGCGTCAATGCTCATTGTATCTCGCGACGCGTTGAGGATCTCCAATGAAAAATTCGCAACTATGTTGCACTCGTATAAACGAGCACGCGTGCCTCTGCAGTGTAAACTCGTAACGATGTTATTTGAGCAAATATAGAATATAGGGAGCGATCGGGAAGTCGGTTTCCGCGTATAGCAGAGCCTCGCGAGCTCGATCTGCACAACTGTATACAATGCGATCCAATGCGATCGTTGCATTAAAATTAAAAGCCAATGAGCGAAGGGAAAAAATTATGAAGGTAATATCAAGAGGATGCGCGTGAAAAATTGACAAGATCATCTCGCAACTCAGCGCAACTTTCGAGTTTATGATGCGAATAAATGCATAATAATAAAAGCGCGGATCGATCAACGGACGTTTAAATTAAATAGCTTGTGAAAGTAAATATGCTCGCGCTTTATTATATATTACACATAAATACTCGCCCGAGCTCGTTCGTTTTTTCAAAACCAATATATATCCAAGCGCTCGTTGGACGTTTACCGCGCTAATAGACCGCTCTTTACAAAGTACACGTATACGAAAAAAGAAAAAAAATGAAAAAAAGTAATTTTTTTGTCAAATCTATAAGCCGCGTAAAATTGATGCCTCTTTTGCACAAAACTTTTGCGCTATCATTATATGACCATGCCCAATGCGAAGAATTTCGGGAGCTCCGAAAAAGCATGTGAGCTGTCGATGCTGCTTTGCACACGAACGAGCTGAAAGAGAAAGAGAGAGAGAGAGAGAGCCGCCGTGCAATATCGTCCCAAAGAATAGATGCTTATAGATTTTTTGCGTGAGTCAAAAATATACTCGTGTGGCACACATTAACTTTTTTTACTATACACACACACTCTTGACTAACAATGCTTATATGCATGTAACACACATCCTTAATCGAGTTTCTAATGTGTGTGGTTTTTCAAAAAAACCGATCGCGTGTCAAAATTCGGAGACTAACGCGAGGCTGCCGCTGCCGCCGTCGAACTCAGAGGCTAAAGAGGAGATGCAATGATCGTCAATTATACGAGTTAGAAGTGGACTGAAACACGATGCCAATGGTACATCTTTAAAGATTTTCAATTTCGAGCTCAGAGTATATTAGGAGAGAGAGAGAGAGAGAGAGAGAGAGAGAGAGAGAGAGTTTACACACGCACGATTTTGCACACTCACACATAATAATATTTTAAATACACGTCACGTGTATCTCGTTACACAATTGTTTTTCTCTCTAAAACAATAATTGAGTTAACCGGATGATAATAAAATCGTCAAGAACCGCCGAGGAGATTAAACACGAGTGCTTTCAAGCGTGATCTGATTCGCTCCGATCGAGGAGGCGTCCTTCGATCGTGTTCCTGCAAATCTCTTCTAAATAAGATGCATCGCGTATATTATAATCTCAAAAAGTGCATACGAGATCTACTACTATATTATACATACTTAGGTGTAGGTATATTGAAAATACATTAGCTGCCTAAAAAAAGGCCTGGAGGTTAACGTAATAATGCATGCCCTGAAAGGGAGCCCTAAAGGAGAGGAGGAGGTGGAGGACTGCAGCCGAAAATACCTCGTGAGCGTACGCTCCAAGGTCCAGTTACATCTTTACTCGCTCAATTAGCACAAAAAACAGGTAGGGGGATCAAAATTCGCCAATGAGGTGGTCCATGCACCGCACGCAGCTCTTCTACATAAGTGTATATCCCATGACGATGATGATGATGATGATGCACACTCGCGAGAGCATAGCAGCAAGCAAGCGCAACCCGATCTCTGTCAACTTGTCTTTTGGCGCGTGTGCATTCGCGCGTCTTGGATTTCGCCTCGATCTTGCCTCTATATATCCCGCGCAGTCACCTTTACAAAGACGCGCACAATGTCAAGTTCATAATGCTGTATATAGCTAGCACAAAAACGTGGTATAATCTTTAACCGGTCTTTGTTGTACACAGTACAAAAATAATTCGAATTATGTCGAAGATCGATCGACGTTTTCTTCTCGATGCGCTTGAGCATTGTGTGTTTGGGCACAAAATATTATTTTTACCCATTTTCCTCAAAGTCCTCTTATCTGTTAAAGAGATCTGCTGCGTAATGGTAATAAGTTCCGATGAACTACATTTGAACCAGTGCACAGGAGCTGCTTATACCTGTCTATGTGTTACAGATTCAATCTCTGCCATATAACGAGATTTTCCATTATATCCGACAGGTAAAATAGAGTGGCTTGCCGAGATTATTAGTCCGGTGGCTGCGCGGACATTCCTGGACGTATTATCGGGTTACGCACTGACCCGAGGGGAATTTCACAAAAGAAGAAAGGTATTGAGAGTTCGATGCCATCGACGAGCATTGCTCTTTCTCGATGACGTGTCGCTCTTCTAACATAAAATAACAATATGCGCTACTGTGTATGTGACATTTATCTTTTGAATTCGGTAGCTAAATATGAGGTTAATCAATTCATGGACGAATTATCATTGATTATCAGTGGTCATAATTCACGGTTTTTCGATTAGGTAAT